TGTTTCTCAATATTTCTCTTTCTCACAACTCTCTCTCTCTTTCTCTCTCTGTTAAATTCTTTTTGTGCATGGCAGTCAGTATCTTATCTAATGAGGTATCTGACCTGTGTCTTGGAAAACCTGCGTTGAGCTCTCTGTCAGCTTCTGCAACCGTCGGTGACGCGTTGTCTGCTCTCAAAAGATCTGGTGATTTTTTTTTAAGCGTTTGGAGCTGTGATCACCTTCAACATTGCAACTCTCCAATATCGATCCAGGTTGACCTTGAAGAATGTAAATGCGTTGGCAAGGTTTGCTTGGTGGATGTGATTTGCTTCTTGTCTGTAGAAGAGAATTTGAAGAATCCCGGAAAAGCCCTTCAAGAACCGGTCTCTGTGCTTTTAAATTCTAAGGTTCCTGGACTTGTTAGGCACCTGGAACCGCATGCCAGGCATGTTCTTTCATTTCTTGAATTTTTCTTCTTTCTGAGATTTGGATTTTCAATTGCTGATTTTTTAGGGAATTTGGAGGTTTTTTTAATGTGGTCGTCACGGAATTGAATATTGTTAATGTTTTTTTTTTCCTTGTATATTTTTAATTGTTATCATCACACCAATTATATTGTTTACTTGTTCATTGTTAGGTTACGTATTGGTTGATTTTTTTTTCTTAAAAAAAATCTCGAGCTGACTTGAAATGTCCCCCCCTAAATTGTCCGTGTCAAGAATTTGTCGCTATTAATTTTTTATTTATTTGAAACTTCAATGTTTATAGATTTTTCATGTCATGCATTAATACTTGAAATCTGGATGAATTTTATATGCGACAACTGAGTACAGGAATTTAATTAATCACACGGAAAAATTACATAAAAGGAACAAAATTTGGAGTGTTTGATGTGTGGCTGCCGGAGAGCGTTGTGGCTCAACATCTCTTTCAGTAGAGTGAATTCTACACAAGAAAGACGCGTAGCCATAAAGAATGTAATTATTTAATGGATTTGAAAGTGAATTTACCACCCTCTCATTACTATGACATTTTCCGATCTGTTTAATCTGTCTCTGTCTTAATCGTGTCTTTTTGCGCGTCTAATGATTTTCTCTTGCTCTTTCTCAGCCTGTTGGAGGCCGTAGATGTCATCCTTGGAGGGGCACTGAACCTTGTGATACCTCTTCGCAACCCATTCACAAGAAAGAAGCTGGTATACAAATCCGCAGCCAACTCCACCCTCCACAACAACCGTGAGTACTGCTGGCTGGCTCAGGAAGACATAATCCGTTACCTCCTCAACTCCATTGGCCTCTTCTCTCCAACTCCAAACCACACCGTCGAGTCCCTCGGCCTCATTGACTCTGAATCCTTCTTTACTGTCCATTATGATGACCCTGCCTCCTCTGCATTGCCCTTGATCTCTCAGTCCCTCATTAAACAAACATCTGTAGCCATTCTCGATACAGATGGTAAGTTGATTGGCGAAATCTCACCATTCACATTGAACTTTTGTGACGAGACAGTGGCAGCTGCAATCGCAACACTCTCTGCTGGGGAGTTGATGGCTTACATAGACTGCCGTGACCCACCGGAGGACCTGTTAAGGTTGGTGAAGGAAAGACTGGAAGAGAGGAATCTAGGACCTGCTTTGGACTTGATAGAAGAGGAATCAGGAATTTCATCATTGTCATCGTATTCATCCTCATCAGATGAAGAGTTTGGAATGGAAAGGAGTGGGGGGGTATCTGGGAATTCAGCAGGAGTGAGGGGTACCGCCCAGACAGTCGTGTGTTATCCATGGAGCTCGTTGGTGGCAGTGATGATTCAGGCTCTTTCACATCGTGTAAGCTGCACATGGGTTATTGAAGAGGATGGCACTCTGCTTGGTGTTGTCACCTTCACAGGAATGATTAAAGTGTTGCGGGAACGTTTGAAGTCAATGGCGTGAGCATTCAGAATCAGGCACGTAAAAATAGAAGAGCCAAAACTTTGATTTTATGCCAGCATTCTGCTCAATGGTTTCTTTTCTTTCAATTTAATATTTGTAATTTTGAAAACGTTACATTTTAAGCTACTATGAAAATGGACATCACAGAACTGGGATTGGTATGACAATGAGACCTTCTTATGATGGACTGAATAAATTCAACGCTTTACAATCTAACAATTGTAATTTGAAGAAGAAGAAGAAAACATATAATGGCTGTGAATTAAATTACTTTTTAGGGGTGTGATAGAGATTATATTTTAAAGTTATTTTAGTTTAGAAATATATTAAAATAATGTTTTTAAATTTTATTTTTTATTTTAACATATAAACAACTAAAAAATATTAATTTTAAATAAATTGTTTTAAAAATAAATATATTAAAATAATTTTTTTAAATTTCATTTTTGATTTTAACATATAAAACGACTAAAAAATATTAATTTTAAATAAATTGCTTTAAAATTTTTAGGTAAATAATGTTTTAGTTGCGATATTAAATATGCTATAGAAGTTTAAATCAGTATTAGGACTGTTCTAGAAATTCAAATTATAACTTTTATTTTTTTTTTAAGAAATTCAAATTATAACTTTTATTTTTTAAAAAAATTCCATATTAAAATTATCTAATTATATAAAAAAATTAATTAATTTCAAGTAAAAAACAACTTTAAAAAAATCACTCACAAAACATGATTTTAATGCAAAAATAAACAGCCTCTAAGCGGTATCCTATCCAGCGGAGCGGGACAACATGCGTGAAGGGAAATTTGTCTTGAACTGGAAAACGATGTTCAAGATGGCTAACAGGGTTTGGTGCATATCAATCTGTTCCTCTCATTGGCAAATCCACTCTCAAGCATGAAAGGCAGAGTTAAAGAAAAGAAAAACTACATCAGATGTTTCTTAAATTCGTTCCTCTCATTTGCCTCTGGTCTCTTTTAGACAGTAATAATTCATAGTACATATCCAGTCCAGCATGATAAAGCCCCTGTGCTTTCGAGGCCAAGATTGCTAGCGTTATATCAAAGCAACGGTCATCAAGTTTGATCAAAAGGGGAGTTTTTCTAAATTTAAAATTCAATTTCATTAACAAACAATCATCTCCCAAGGTTGACTAGTGGAATTCAAATAAAGAAAAGGTCACCTAAATGAACACGAACGATAATTTTCATTAACAAGGTCATTATTCGGTGTCCCAGTTGATAGATGAGGAGGAGGAGACAGCGTCAGTTACTTGAGCGTGATGAAGAATGACTCAGAAAAAATAAAAATTGCAAGACCTTTTCCCCATTTTATTTTCTTATCTGGGTATTGTTTTCTATACATGGAATACAACCTAGCTGGTGAATTGAAACTGGAAAGAATGAGGATGGGATACAAATGGAAAGCATTGAAACAATCAACTACTTCAAAGTGATTACAATAGCCTATGATTGAGCTCAGACGTACATGATAATAGGGCTTCTCTAACTTGAAGATTGCTAGAGTCCATATGAAGAGCATCTTCATAGAGCCTCCTTGCTTGCTGCAGCAACTTCACTTTCTCTCTACTGTTAGTTGGCCGTAAACGGGATCTCTGCTGCAATACCACACCCCATCTATACAAGGCTGCAATCCACCAATGTTGAAGTTCAGTATAATTTTATACTTACGACACACCACTTTTTTTCTTTTTGTTGCTTCTGAACGAATTCAATTTATTGTTGCACAAATCAAAGCACTTTATGCTGGCAATTGAACATGTGTTTGAATGACGATAATCTTATCTTTGCTACTCCTGATGCTCCTTAGAACTCCAGGTAAGACATGATTCTCCCTTTGCGATTGTCTTAAATGGATATCATCCTTTGTCAAACAGATCCTTCCAGTATAAGTTTATAACTTGATTGACTTTTAGTGAAGAAAAAAAGTTACTCACCATCTGGTGCGTGGACATTGCCTTTGGACATCATGGCATCAAATTTGTCAATTGCAGCCAAGAACACTTTTTCAGCATCATAAGCAGCTTCCTGAAATCCAAAAAAAGATTGAAGATTCAGCACTGGATGTTAAATTGTTAAAAGTAAGCTACAACCTGAAAGGTTATTCCTGTAGTCCAAATCCTAACTGAGCTAATTACATACAGAATCAACAATAAAATTATAACAACGTCAAGATGCCAGTGAACACTTACTGGTCCAATATCTGCGATCAACTGCGCACGAAAGGAGAGGGCAAGGCCCCAATTATACAAGGCTCTCACATCATTCCCATCAATCGATAGCGCCAGCCTATATTTTCTGCCAGCTTCAACTAGGAGTTCTTCACACTCTTCACACACATTTATAAGTACAGATGCGATTTTATCTTTCTTTATTACCTGATCATCTAGACCTTTGAGTATTCCGCTGTGATCATTTGCATAAAACGGATCCCTTCTTGAGAGGAGAGTTCGCAGCTCACGACTAATCTTTAATTTTAGTTCTCCATGAAGAAGATATGTATTGCCCAATTGGCCGACAGCCAACAGACTCATCGGCTTCATGGCTATGGCTTTGGAAAGTAACTTCGCAGACTTGTGCAAAATAATTTCTACATGCTCTTCATCACTCCTTCCCCTTAGAAACTCCTTGGCTTGTTTCAGAAGGTTGTTAGCTTCTGTAAGGTGCCTATCAAACACCACGTCATCTGAAACCACTGAAGAAGAAGAAGAAGAAGATGAAACAACTTCACTCTCAGGTACTGACTGGTGATCACCTAAATGCAAATCATCATCCACCCACCCTTCTTTGAGTTGAGACCTGTAACTCTCATCTTCACTCATCTTCCAGGTGTGTGAGGATCTGTAAGCTCTGGAGGATTTCCTGTACATCTGCTTTTGTACGAAGTTAGTTTCTGTTTCCATTTGTTCTAAACTGACACCAAAATCCACAGAATCAAATAGATTATCCTGGGATTTCCATGTTTCAGTTTCATTATTTTGATCCATCTTCCAATAAACACCATGATTATCCATGAACTGCAACCTGTTATTTTGGTAACGATAGTCTTCATTATTAACAAGTCTTTTTCTATCCCCACCTACATCCCCCAAATTCATCTTTCCATTTTCTGAAACAATTCTAGTCCTTCGACTATCCAAATTCAAAGCAGACTTATTCATTGAACCTTGAGAAAACAGGAAATCCCTATTCGTTTTCTCATTATCAACAGCATTAAGAACCTCTTCTTCAACAACTGGCGTCGAGTTATTTCCTTGAGCTCGATCATTTTCCACACACTTTGCAGTCCCCTGCTTAGCAATCTCTTTCTCTTTCTCCTTCACTTTGTTACTCTTTGAACTAACCGCTTTCTCTCCAAACAAACCCCCCACAAATTGTAAAAACTCAAACCCAACTTCACCAATCTCCTTACCTTTCATACTTGAAGATGATCTCTGATTCTCAACTAACACACCATTAACATTTCCTGAATTAACGATATTTGCCTGGACAACATTTCTCGCATTCAAAGCCGAAGCCTTTATCGATTGAATCACATTAACATAATTCTCCAAATCAACCAATTTAATTTCTTTAGAATCAATAGCTCTCTGTATATCATTCTTCAAGTCACCAGCTTTAACATCAAAACCATCAAAAAAACCCACTAAACTCCTTAACCTCTCAGTATAAACCCTAAAAAACTCCTCTCTAGCTTTTCTCTTAATTGCATTCACATTAAACTCATTAAAACTCCCCCCACGTACAAACCCAACGGAAAACCCAACAGCAAAAACCAAAACAGAAGCTGGAAACACTATAATTGAAGAAACCCTGACCCTAGAAATTGCAAGGGCACAAAAAATACCCAATATAAACATAAAGACATGTTTTTTATCATCGATTCCTATAGAAACTAGAAAGTTCCTCAACTGGGTTGACTCACCCGAGTTGACTGAGTCGCCACCAATGAGTCCCAAGTCGTGCCAGCCATTATAAGTGTCTGAAGCAGATGCTTTGATTGGAGAGAAGTATCGGGGTTTGTGAGTAAAGACAGGGTTTTTGGTATGGGAAATGCGAAGGAGGGATTTTTTATTTTCTCGAGAAAGTGATTGAAAATGAAAGAGGAAAATTGAAGGAGGGGATTGTAGAGCTGCGCAATTAATTGGGCTTATAAAAATTACGGTTTTCATTTGGGAATTTTTTTGATTGAAGATTGAAGTGTTTGAAGTGGAAATTTTCTGTTTGCTGTTACACTTGCAAACCCAGGAGGAATTTTCAGGTGGTTAGTTTGTTAGGCGCATTTAAAGGGAAAAGGAGTGGAGGAAGGGACCTCAAAAGGGAACGAAGAAGACGACACGTCGTTGAACATCTACTTCTACCCTCGTAATTTACTCATTACAATCCAACTATTCTTTAAAAAAAAAATTAAAATAAAATATTTTAAAATAAAAAAAATTATATGTTTTTATATTATTTTGACATAAAAATTTTTAAAAATAAAAAAATATTTTAATATATTTTTCAATAAAAAATATTTTAAAAAATAACATCAATTATATTTTTCAAACAATCAATTGATATTTCTTGATGTTATCTTTATATTTATTTTCTTGCAAATAAAAACAATATTTTTTTGTCATATTTTTCTTATTTTTCCTTGCAAATCTTCATAAGTGTTGTCGTCTCCCGTAAAAACAATATGTGGTTGTTTAGAATAATATTTTAAAATGTTAGGGTAAGAAAAGGAAAGGATTGGATTTTATATTCAAATGTAATATTTTATAATTTGTAGAACTAGAAGACTACCAAGTTTGAAAAATATATTTCTGATGTTTTCACGTATTCTTTTACAATTTTTTATTATTTTCTAATTATAAAACACTAAAAAAATCATTTGACACCTGATGCGCTATAGCATTTCTTTCTTATTTGTTTATTTAAATAATGTTCAGAATACGGTTGAAATTAAATTATGTTTTCTAAAAAATTAAATTTTTAGGTATACGCTCACGAAGGGCCCGGTGTTTTGAGACCCTTGCATGATCTGGCCTTCAAGCATGGGCCTATGCCACAGGGGCCGCAAGAGAATGGAAGCTTACATCCCTGTTAGGCCCAGCTCTTGACTGGCTAAACCCTATGCATCGCCAGGGTTCATTCTGGACTTCTCCTACCAACCACTTCACATGCCTATAGATAATTATTTTTTATTTGATTTAATTTTTATTTAAAAAATTAAATCATTTAGTTTTTATTAAAAAAATGATTAAATTAGTTTTTTTAAAACAAATTAAACTAAATCAAAACTGGTTTAAATTGATAGGTTTCAATTTGATTTGGTTATTTTAAAATAAAAACTATTTTTTTTTGTTTGGCTCTTGTTTTTTTATTTGGCTTGATTTGAATTTTTTTTTAATTTCAGGTTTATAAAATTAAAATCGAACCAAATCGGTCGGTTTTTTAAAATTCTAATCGATTTAATCGGTTTTTTTATAGTTTGGTTTTTTCAGTTATTTTTTTATTTTCTTAATTTAATCAATTTTTTATTTTTTTCACCTTTAGATCACACATTTTTTTAAAAAGAATTGATAATCTATGTTAATTTGGATTAATAGGGTAATTTTTTTAGTTTTATTTTTTAATATTTAATTGGTTGAAAATTACATTTTATTATTTATTTTTAAATTATATTATTATTATCTAATTAAAATAAAAGTAGTTTATTTTATTAGTTGGAATCACAACCTGTGGTCGTATATTTTCTTTTATAAAAAATATATTTGTAACATTTAAACATTATTTTCTATATTGAAATAATAATAAAGCAACATGGCATGGCGCAGGCCCTCGTCTGCTATAAAGCTATAATCTTACACGCCATATCCCATGGAAAACAACGATGTTGAGAAGAGTGATGCTGTTTATCTAAAAGAAAGCTTGAAGGGAAAACAGCGAAAGGGACAATGCATTGACATGCTTATCTATCCGACAATGATATATATATTCCTGCCTTCTCCTTAAATAATTTTAAATTTTAGAGATAAAACTATGTAAATTTTAAGTTTTTTTAGATTAATATAAATATTTGAATCAGGTTGTGTGTATTTTTATTTATTTTATGAATTTTAAAATTAACAATTATATAAATTTTCAATAATATTGAAATTTATAAAATTTTAATTAATAATATCTAAAAAATAAACTTAAAATATAATCAAGCTATATTTTTTAATCTTGTAAATTTTAAGTTTTGATCCTTCTAGAAGACAATTTCTAATCTGTCCCTCTAAGAAGATTCCATAGCTTGCCCGATATGCATCCTATAAGAGGATGCAAAGCCAAATCTTGCCACTTCGATGAATAAATGTATAGAAGGAATGCCTGCAGAAGATTTCCTGGCGATCTGTTCTAGTTTGTATGTTTTTATCAGGGCTCGTGAGAATCTTAGGGGCAGGTGAGCTGCATGCTGGCTATTGAGGAGGGACGGAATCAGGGGCTGGCCCTGCAAAATATTTTAATGTTTTTATTATTTAGCATTTAAATATGTAATATATAACATTTTTTATTTTAAATAAATAAATTATTTAATAATATAACTTATTATATTAATTTTGATCTCCCGCTGTAAGCTACTGCCATCTCCGCCCCTGGTTGAGGTATCAATACTTGTATATTAACTGATATTGGTCAAGTGTTAAGGATTTGGACTAAGAAGTTTGTTCACTCTGTTGTCTCAGGTTTGAGTTTTTAGTTGCTAATATGATGATCACTAGATGTTTATATGGTCGTTAACTTCAGGGCCCATGAAATTAGTCATGATACACGCAAGCTGGCCCGAACACCCCCGTTAATAATAAAAAAAATAATGCTTGTATATTTGACTTGATGGGGGGTTGATTTAGTGGTTGAATCAGTCGAGTAAAGAGCAAAAAAAATTTAAATCTAGTTAATCTGTGATTTGAGTGACCTAGGAAAATTTGGTAGTGATTTTTTTTAATGTATTTTTTCTTCTAATCAAAAATTTCTTTTTGCTTATATGTTTTAGTTAATTATGAACCCTTCTCGAGATTTGTTATATAAGTATTAAAAAATATTTTATTTTTTAATGAAGGATTTGAAGTTACATCTTTTCAATGTAAAATAAAAAAATTTTAATTTAAATATTTTAATTTAAAAAATAATATAATATTTTTTTAATGTGTGATAAAAAAATTTAAAATAATTTTATAAATTTTATTATTTACAACATATATATAATCTATATTCATATATGTTATTTTTTAATTTTTTATATAAAATATTAAAATTTTAAATATTATTTTTAATTTTTTTAGATTGATTTCAGTCGATCCATATAACCTGGATTCTAACCCCTTGGCCCTAACCAATTGGCCGGACCAAAGTTTGGATAACTATGGATAAAAGATGAGTTGTCTCCCAACTCAGTTATTCCAATGAACTCACTCAAAGGTTAATGATCCATGAGTTTGATGATGAACTACCAAGACTCAATTATCAGTTGAGAATGATGCCTCTACATCTAGTAACTTGATGAAAGAGATTGGGATCCGAAAAGGAAAAGGAGTGCGATTATCCTTTCATCACAAATATGTTGGCGCGCCATCTCTCAACTTGAAGCATGCACTTCGTGTAAGAAAAGCATGGTTATTGCTAGTCGTGTACTCATGCTCTGCTGCGAACATGTTTTTTTTTTTAAATATATATATCATACTGAGTTTAATATAAGTTAATTTTATTTTAATTAAAAAATATATAAAAAAAATTAAAATAATAATAATAATAATATGAGAAAAAATATTTTTGTAAATAAGGACAGACAATGTATTGTAATGATAAAATTAAATATAAAATAAAATAAATTAATTTAAATTAATGTAATAAATTTATAATTTAAAAAATAAAATACATTTAACCTAGATTAACCAGTTAAAAAAACAACCCCGGATTTTATATTCTTTAGTTGTAGATGTTATATAGAAAATAAATATATTTACTTATAATAATAAATGTATTGAAATCGGTTTATCCGACAATGGCAATAAAGGGAAATCAGGGAAAGGGACGATGCATTTTCATGCTTATCTATCCGACAATGATATTTTATTCATAAAATGATACACGCACATGGAAACAGGGCGAGGTTAGCCCCTGTAAATAAATAAAAAACCTTGCCTTAAATAATTTTATATTTCAGAGATAAAACTATGTAAAATTTAAGTTTTGACCCTTCTAGAATACAATTTCTAATCTGCCCCCTCTAACAAGATTTCATTTAAAAGTCTGGCTACATTATTTTAATTTTTAATTTTTTTAATTTCTTTATATTTTTATATCATTTTGATACAGTAATATCAAAAATATTTTTTAAAAATAAAAAATATTATTTTAATATATTTCTAAATAAAAAATATTTTGAACTGTAATCGCTACCACAATTCTAAACACACCATAAAACTGTAAATCCAAATTAAAAACAAAATATTCTTTCAAGTTTGATCTTTTTTTAGTAATATTAAGGGAAAAACATCTCAATGAAATTCTCTTATCACATATTAACACTAAAATTAATTTTTTAAAATGTTTGAAATTGTTGTTAACCAAGATTTTTTTTTTATTAATTGAAATTTAATAAATTTCTCTTTCTTTTTTCAAAACAAAAAAATAAATTATATCAAAATTAAACTTTAGAAAACTTAAAGGATTGAAAATGTATGAAAACTAAAAAAATCAAAGTGAATTTTTCATGCTAAATTAAAAAATACCATCTATCTTTTTAACTCTAGTCTTTTATCTTTAAATTTTATTATTTTTTAACAAATTTACTTAAATCCACCAACAATTTAGTAAATATAAAAAAAATAAAAACAAAAACAAAAAATAAAATAAAAGAAGTATTATCTCAATTCAGTGCATTTAGAGCCACATGGGGCTCCAGTAAAAACCCCGTGCGATTTACTTTTTTCTGCAATAATGAAAGGTAAATTATGGACAGTAATTAAACACTCGATTGTTAAAGAATGGTAATTTTTCATTTTTCATTGCTTGTTTTTTTCGAGACAAAAGTCACAAAACAAATTATAGGGGTGAAGGGTATGTTAGCAAATAAACTAAAAATGCAGGGCAATAATCAACTATGAGAAAATAAATAACGATCAGGAGCGCGCGGAGGCAATCGAAAACAAGGGTAAAAATGCAGATGCATATGCTTGTATGAGTATTTTTAAAAATATTTTTTATATTTAAATATATTAAAAAAATATTTTTTAAATAGAATACTAAAACGATCCAACAC